ACAAGTATCGTCCTTAAGGTTTAGGCTATGTTTGGTAAAGCTAGCTGATAGCTGATAAACTAGTTTATAGCTTATATGTAATTTTTGAGCTTATAGCTGAAAAGCTAGCATATATGGTAAAAGTGTTTGGTAAAATGAGCTGATAAGCTAGCTGAAATAAAAAATTGAACTAGCTTATTTGAAAAGCTACCTAAACAAGCTTATCAAACAAGCTCGAACTTTTTAAATAAGCTCGTCCTACCAAATGGGACTATTTAAATACAAGAAGCTTATAAGCTAACCAAATGAGCTATAAGCTAGCTTATTTAGTTTACCAAACATACCTTTAACCTAAGGACGAAAAGATTATTACAGTCGATTTGTATCCAATGGAATGTAGTAAATACAAACTTCAAGGGGTATTTGTGTTTTAATAACTCAGCATTGTGTTCTACAATGTTTAATTGTTAAAGGCGATTAATTTTTTTTTTTTTCAAATCAAACTAAACGTAGGCTATGTTTGGTAAAAAATCAGTTGATAAGCTAGCTTATAGCTTACAAGTGAATTTCGAGCTTATAGCATATGATTCATAGTAGAAAGCTACCTTGTATGATAAAAGTATTCAGTAAAATTAACTGATAAGCTGAAATAAAATTTTCAACGAGCTCATTTGAAAAACTAACCAAATAAGCTTATGAGATAAACTCGAACTTTAAAAAAAAAAAAAAAAAAACTCGTCATACTAAACGAAACTTATTTGAATACAAGAAGCTTATAAGCTAATTGTATGAATACAGAATATGTACTACACCATATTCTTTAAACAAAAATACATATTTACTATCAAATTTCATACTTTTGTTTTAATTTTTTTTTTTTTTAGGTACAACATTTTCATTAAAATTATGCAGTACCAAATGTAATACTATTAGAAGTGCTCAACAAACCATAAACAGAGCAATAACAATGTCCTCACAAGAAATGGAAAGACAACGGATAAGAACCAATCTCTGCATTTAATGGAGTATTCATCGACTGCTTTTGACTGCCCAAAAACAGAGGAACCCACCACACAAAACCATTAAATCACACATCTGCACAAATTTTATTATTATTATTTTTTTTAAATATTAAAATAAATAAACAAACAAATGCAAACCAAACCCATAATTCAATTTAGGGCAAATTGAATAGATTATTAGTTCTTTTCCCCTTTTTCTAATAAACAAAGATGAAAAAGTGAATGTTCTGAGATGCAACCGAGAAGAAAATCATGTGTACCGTGTGATTCGCGGCGGCCAAACACCGGTCATCACTCATCCTTTCTCCGAGAACCGCTCCTCCAGAAACCGTCCCCGAACCGGCCCCACA